AAGTTAAATTATCAGCAAAGGAGAGAAATTTGTTAGAGCTAGCAGTCTTGGAGGTTTTACTTCACCATTTCAAGGACAAGAAAGACATAAGAAAACAAGTCTAATGATTATAGTCATATATAAGCACTCTAATATGAAAACATATCTAACCAGTTCTGAGAAGGATCCCTGTGAAAAAAAAGAAACTTAAATATAGCCACTTAAGGAAGGTATGCAAATAATGTTTTAATCTCAATGGGGAGCCAGAAATAAAAGGAAGAGCTAGAATGTTGTTGGAGATTGCATTGGAAAAGGTTAGAAAGGACCAAGGTATGAAGAGCCTCCAAACAGTAGCAGCTAATTATCTTCTAATTTAAGATTAAATGCACAAGCATGTTATGAATGAGCCGTATTTGATTCCTTTGGCTTTTCCTTTGACTCTCTATAAAAAAATCTTTATGAATGCACCAGCTAGTGTCACCTTTCCAGTGCACCTTTGAAACAAGCTACTTGCCTATGCTGGGCGTTTTGGGCCATTTAATCTCTGTGAGATTAAGTGTTTTAGTAAAGTCTACCTGGCAGAGCAGAGCTGGTAAAGCAGACAGGATGCCAAATGGCAGGGCTGCCACAGTGACTTTGTGTTTCAGTGAGCTGAAAGTGGCCAGAAATGTAGCTTGATCACTCTTCCCTTTTGTCAGAAGTAATAGCACTGCTATGGTAAGTGGTTTCGAGTTGCATTAAGAGCAAGATTAAGGACCGATTTTAAGGAAAGACAAAATGGAAATGTAGTTTTACAAAGAAGCTACTAAGAATGTCCTGAAAATGCAGTTACTATTCACATACCTTTATTAGACTAACTTAATATAATTAGCAGTGTAGCTTTCTGGCTACAAAATTCTCCTTTTCAGGTTAATATTGTGGTAATAGAGGTGACCTCCTGTCTATGCAGAGGCAGATGCTCTCCTGACATTTCCGAGGGTCATTACTACTCTTCAGGCATGTGCTCGCAATACTGTATAAGCCCTTGTCAGCTTTTCATTATAGTTCTTCTTTGGGGTGAGCGGGTCAGGAATTTCAATCCTTTGGTTTGGATCAGGTTCAGGTCAGAGAAAACTTGAAGTGACCTGACCCAGCCATGAACTAAAGATAGGCCCAGAAGTTTCCCTTCTGTTGGAAACTGGACTCCTGGTGATGTTTATCTACTGGTGACAAAGCATGAGYTTCTAGATAACATATGACACTAGGGTGCTCGTGATCGCAAGCCCTTGTCTGGATAAGAAAGAAACAACCTTTTTCCTAAACTTGACGAAGTTGCTAGTGACAGTGTCATTTGCTTTTATATTCACTTCAATGGGTCTGGGAAGCCATAATTTTAACAATGTGTTCCAAGGCTTTTATCTCTGCTTGATCTATTTTTAAATGCTTTTATTTTCACAGCTAATTCGCAGATTCCTGAAGTATAAACTTACCATTCCGGACCACAATACCATATGGCTTTATGGTTTCATTGATTAGTTTCACCTTATTACCTTTAATTTATTAGGAGAAAAGGCAAGTTCCTATATGCCATAGGTCATATAATGGAGATCAAAACAGCCTTACAGGAAGAGCTGAGACAGGGGTGTTGTGTGTGGATATACCGTGTGCTTTGTCATGTGGTCCAGTTCAACCTGAACAAAAAACAGCTTCCTCCTTTCTTCTTCTTGTTCCTTGTTGTTTCTGCCCTGATCCACAGTCGAGGATCAAGATTATTTTCAAGAATRTCTTGAAGTGCTCCTTGCTATGGTCTTAATAAAGGCTGTGTGTGGAATCATTAAAAATATTGTTAGCAATAGCAAAGCTATGGCATTATATMAAAGCTGTGTAGATGTCAAGAGATTTATAACTGTCAGGCTTCTTGCTAGGTAGATTTGGGTACCTGAGAGATTGGGTTTCACTCCCCAGGCTCGAGTATCTTCAGGAGATGAGCTGCCTTCTGCTCCACACAGCTTTTTACTGCTTTTCTCTGCACCCACCAGTGTATGCTGAGTTTTCCCAGGAAGGCTGTTGGCATGAAACATTGCAGATGCGGAGGATGCAGCTACTTCCTTTAATTCAAAACAATGAAGAAGTGGAGCCTGCTATTATATAGTTCATACTTCATCTTCATTTAGAGAKTGGCAAAAGCAGCCTTTATCATTCCCTCTCCCACACACACGCACACATACACACACTCCATGGAGCCCAGTGCAAAGAACTCCCTGAGTAAGAGCTTGTRGGGGAGTAAAATCAAGGTAAAACGTAATCCCAAGGCTTCCCTGTGTTTAAAGAAATGAAGGGAAGCATGAGAGCACGAAGGGGCTTAAGGGGTATGTTTTATTTCTTAACAAGATTATTTTTTGCAAATTTTGCGTTACCATGAAGCACAAGATTGATAGGTCTTATCATGGTTAACCTAGTTTGTAACCTCTTTCCCTTTAAATTTGTCCAGATCAGGCATTAATAATAAGACCCCTAAGATAAGTAGGGATGGATGTTTTATTAAGATAAATAAGTTAGATATTTCAAGACAGAGCACTGTAGAGCAAGCTTCACTTGGGAATGCAGCATAGTTTGAATCTGTTCTTTCATATGGATGCTCTATTCTTGTATTGCTGGAGTGTTTTAGCAAGCATTAAATTAAAGATTCCCAGTTGTGATGAGATGTGTACGAAGCTGTTCTCTCCCACATTATTTAAACGACCCAACTCAACCTAGTAAAGCTWCCATGCAAAGGACTGAAAGAGATATTCTGAGAAATGACCCTTTCCCCCTTTGCCTAGCAGTAGTCCTGCTGATGCTTCTGCTGGTGCTTATAACTAATACACTAAACTCAGAGTTATTGCGTTTGTAACCTAATTTCAGGTCATTCAATTTGTGAAAAACTCCTCTGGGGAGTGTAAGTAAAAGACTAGCTGTATAAAGACATGAGATGGGTTTCTGTGAATTTCTTTTACTGTATTTCTCATTGCTGAGCAGATAAAAGCAGGAAGCATTGCTCTGTGCAGAGGCCAGTTGTTTCTGTCCTCTCACAAAGCTTGCATCAAATTCCCATGCAAACACTCATGTGTGTGTGTGTGTGTGTGTGTGTGTGTGTGTGTGTGTATGTACGTACTGTGAACTCTGTTTGACCAGTTGAATTAACAGCTTTTTTTAAGGCTCTTCAGGATCACTCACTGCTCTGCTGTGTTCTCTGATGTATGCCACGCCATTGAGTGTCATCCTCTTGGGACCCAAAGTGTCTATTGGGGTAGAAATGTACCTCTCAAAAAGTGATCCAGTCACAGTCGGAAAACACCAGCCAAAGGAAGGCCCGTTGCTTCTGTTGTCACTAATCTGCTACAGATTACAGTCTTGATCAGTTAAAAACTCATCTCTTCTATGCTGAATATTTCTGAATTCAGTTTCCAGCCATTTGCTCCCTGTTACTCCTTTCCATTAGATTAAAGAAACATTAAGGCCAGGATATTCTCCCCATAAAATTACTTTTGCACTATAGTAAGTAACCTCTCATTCTCTTGAGTAAGTGGAACTTTTGCTGCATTTTTTTTCCAGTACCACATCATATTTGTGAGTCTATTTATTTTATTTGTATTTTTTTGTGCAATAAAATGTTTCCGTATAACTTTTCCTTCTGTGGATAACATAGCTGTCCACAATATTATACACCACTGCTATTCACAGCTATAAAATTGCCTCTCTGATATTTGTTCGCTGTAGTCCTTATTGCCACAGCAAATTTGTCTCTTTACAGATGTGGAACATACATATGTGATGAACAGTTTTTTAGGCAAAGAACAAAAAGCATTTATTTCTTGGGAATTACAATTAGTTTATTACTGCTGTTACTGTATAGAGCATGTTGATATAAATTTTACTTTTCAAAAATGTGCTGATATACTGACATGACATAATGAAACGCATGCACCATGTGCCCAAACCAAGGAAACGAGGATGTTCCAGATGTATGGAATTATCAGAATTACGCAACCAGCAATTTCCTGGTTAAGTTAATGTGTTTAAAGCTGGAGGTTGGAGCTGTTAGAGATGATATGGCCTTTCTGCATTCCACAGCAAGAACCATTAGCTTCACTCCCAGATTCTTCAGAACTTTTTTCAGATATCACACTATGGGCCTGACTTCCCCTTGGGGCTAAGCTGTGCAGCTCTGAGGTCGTTACCTCTGCCAGCTCCACCTGAAGACCTGAGGCATGTGTGCAAGGGGTACAGGAAATTCCAACTTCCTGTATCCGGGATTTAAAAATAATTAGCTTGATGCTGTTTTTAAAAATGAGGTAAATTAATATGTAATGATTCCAGTTTTAGAAATAAACTGAAWTTATATTTATGTAGTAGCAAGTTTTGAACAGATCCACCACGGGAGTTGTTGTTCAGTGTAACTCTAAAGTGCTGTGACCTGTGTCTGCCACACAGTGATGTCCTGGGAACATGGTGACGCTTGACTGTTGGAGCCACTTGACCAGACTGATGGATGCTCCAGTCTGTAAAATGGGAGCATCTGTCTGTTTCGGTATGGTGGCTTAACCCACCGCATTCTAGACGATATTCCTCCACAAAAGAAAGAGGCATTTTGTGGCCTTCCAGAGAATGTCCTTCATTCTGCTTTGCATTTGCTGCAAAACAGCAGTATTTAGGGAAGTAATGCTCTGTACGTCCCATATGTCCTCATTATATCCATTWTCCAGCATTGTTTCCATGTGCACTGAATTCACTGTGTGACATAGCTGCTCAGGTGCTTTCCATACATATGGCTGGTTAGAAAATTTATTGTAATAGGAAATTTTTAAGAGAAGTTTTGGTGTTAGTTTTATTTTGTTTAAGTCAGAGTCTAACGGGGAAGTGATTTATTTATTTTTTCAATGTGCTCTATATGTTTTTTTCTAGTAGTGTTGCAAGGCCTAAGTGCCATTAGAAGCCAGGTCACTAAAAATGTGTTTCCCTCAGCTCTTTGCCCTGACCTAAAACCTCTGCATACTGAGTGGATTTGGCAGATGGCTTCTCTCCCGAAAAGTGGTTAGACTGCCCTGGACCCAAACAACTTAGAGACCTCACATTTGTGCGTTGTAAGAGGTAAGATTGAAAGTTCCTGTCTTCTTGGTTATTCTCCATTATCAATAAATAACTGAAGCTTCATAAAACACTGGGGTGTGCTCTGAGCTAGGCAAGATTTAAATAAAATGACTCTGTATTTGTGTAGCTTGTTTCACTTAATTTCATCATTCATCCTGAATGTTTAAATTGAATACTTCTACAATAAATTCATCATCTTGACTGAGTTGTTCCGTTTTGTTGGATTAGCTCAAGTTTGACACCTCTTCCCAGGGGGCCTGCAAACTGACGTCTCTGGGCAATAGACAATATTACATCATAGCTTGTTGTGCTGAAAATGAACTTTTCTCTGGAGATAAAGTCTTAATTCCAAACTTGAACACTGTAGTGGATATTTCAAGTTTTCTTTCTGACGTTATCTTTTCAATTTCCTGCTCAATTTTCATGGGGATTTTTGTGGTACATTTTGATAGATTTGAGTTTGAGTTAAGGATTTGAGGTGGACAAGAAAGCTCCCCTCAACTTGGCTATGTTCTGGSTAAGGCCTTGATGTTCCACAAAAGTAGAGTAGAATAAAAAAGAATATTCTATTATAAGGCAAAAATAAGGAATGTTGTTCTTTTGTTGGCATTACAGTAGTTCTGGTAGCATAGGTCTATGCAGATGGGTTTGTTGCTGGTAGACTGATACTCATTGCTGTCGGACTGCAGAATTTTATTCTCTATAGCTCTGAGCAAAGCCAGCGTGTCAGTGAAATGGATGAAGAGCAAATGTCCAGCATGYTTAAATATGGGCTCTGATTTCTCTAGGAAAATGGTATTTGTCTGTATATACTAGCAAAAATAKTTGCTGTAACCCATTTCTCTGATTTATATATAAAAGCAAATTTTATAAATCAGTAACTAGAAAGATTTTGCATATTGGCAACACTTAAATTATAGTAAGAAAATCTAATTCTGTAATTGGAGAGTGTATGATGGGGGCTAGAACTTAGACTCAGAACTTTGGGGTTCAAAGTCTTGTGTGATATATAATCATCTTATTTTTCAGTCCTGTTGGCTTTTAATATCATAAACTTTCTGGAGAGGAGGCTATTTCTTCTGTGTCTAATATAGTGAGGCCAGTTGTAATTGTTGTAGATGCTAGTGCAGTGCTAAGGAAGCATAGAAAGCCTAGTGCAGAGCCTGAATATGAAAGGAAGCTATTGGAGTTAAACCAAAGCAGTGCCTGGGACTGGGACAGCTAATGCCAGGTAACTACCAGGGCTGTGAATTTTTACCTTTTCTACTCAAGCTGTCCTGGTCAGTATGAACTGAAAGCTTCAGAAAACAGGCTAGTGAGAAGCTCAGTGACTGTYGAGCATGGAGACTAGTCACACACTGAGTTTATGATGGATACTTGATGTCATCTGGAATTGTTGTCAAAACAGCGTATTTACTAACTATTTTAAAACTAAGTTGACAATTTCACAGCCAGGTAGATGAAGTTTAACATATACCCTTTGTTCATACATTGTGCTATTTCTTTTTTCTTTTTTCTTTTAGAAAAGTTTGACACTTTTCTCTAGACTATACRGAGATGAGAAGTTGCCTTTCTGACACATACAGATATTGAAATGGCAGACAGCAGTGCAAGAAAGCCATAGAGAGATCATGTAGTATAGGAAGTGGCTTTTCATCTCGGAGGCGAGGGATGCATTCCGTTAACTAAATTCCTCCAGGGCCAGCTCAAAGTCTAAGCTGCCTGCCCATCAACACGAAGTAGAGGTGTGAAGGTTGTAAAATACTCCTGTTACATGCAGATCAAACATACCCTTGTTCAGAGCAATCTGGACTTTTCTAGCTCTATTTCATTTCCCCCTAGATATAGATTTAGCATATTTGGTATAACTTCTTTTAGGGCACTACTAGATCAGCATATGTATTTTTGCATACTACAAAGAAAATATAGTTTTTCCTTAAGTGCAAATCAAAAAGCATTTTTCTCTAATGCAGGCTTACCGAGACACATATGTGTCTGTGAGCATATATTGTAGACATATCTGGAAAATACGTGCAAAATATTTACTGCTCATGCACAAATGCTCCCTGTTCCTCACAGTAAAACAACGTTATTCTTTGATTTGCTGTGCTGCATAATGTAAAGGTATCAGTTCATAATATTTCAGATTAGAAAAAAATCACCTTAGGAAGTAGAGAATGTTACAGTGTATATCGAGATGGAAACAACAGAGTAAAAGTGAAGGATCTGAAGCTTGGTCATAAGTATTACATCCAGAAAGATTGCAAGATGATATTTTTTACAGTGCAACAAGAACCTATTATTAATCATATGTAGTTCATATTCTGGGGCTTTTACTGGGAATCGCTGGAACTACCGCCTAACMTCTCTTCACAGGCCAAGGGGCTGGTAGAGCTGAGAGCAGGTTCGAGGCTCCCGTGGTCACAGGGCTTGCTCTGCTTTGTTCTTCCCTCCCACTTTGAGGAAATGCTGCTTTTTCTGGATCTGCTTCTGGCAATGTTATCAATCGGCAGTACAAAGGTCTCCTCAGGATTAACAGAAATCTAATTTGCTTTCATCGGGTTAAAAAGTCAGTCCTTTCTTTTATATATGGACAATAAATGGTGTTGACTGAATATGCTGTTGGCATGTTATTGATTTTTGGAGAGTGAGAAGGCCTGACATTGAATACTTGAGTTGAATTTTTTACAAAAGAATTGCCTCCATTTTAAATGCATGCTTGCAACGCAAAAGGCTGACAAATGTTTCCCTTAAAATGACAATGTTTTCCATCTGCTGGGAACACTTTCTCCCAAGATTATTTTAAGAAAGGAGCTTTGTGCTTTTTGGTGAGCTTTACACAGAGTCTGTGTRCAGACCCCTTGTCTCTACAAGAAACTCTATATGAGGCTGCAGACTAGGGTGCAATAATATTTCTGAGATTGTAAACTCCAACTACTAATAACAAATGTAAGGTTACTGCTGGGTCATGGAAGCCTTCAGAAACCTCATAACTGAGCCATGTAGGCTAATAGAATAAAGCCTTTAACCTACTGAACAGCATTAGGCAGGTACCATATTAAGTAACCTTGTCTAAACAATGGTGAAATACTCTGAGGAGAAATGCTGTCAGAAGTACACGTGCCAGAGATGCTTACATGATCTCATAAATGCTCTGTAAAGCCCCAAGTACTACATTTCATTTACATTTTAATTAGTTTCATTGTCCTGTAATAAAAACTTTTTTTTTTCTGTTTAAGACTTCTATTAAAGGGAGAGGGAAAGGAACTTTATCATAAAGAGGAAGAGTTAATTCACTTAGGTGCTTTTCTCATGCTATGAAATGGTAATTCTACTGCTGAAGTCCTTTAAAAATGCTGCACTGTGACAAAAAAAATGCTGTTGGTATTTTTAAAAAGTGTTAAATTAATAGGAATAGCCTAAATTCAATCAGTTAAATTTGATATCTGCAATGAGTGGGGGGTAAGAGGCTGACCTAGATCTAGCAATGAGTCATACATGGAGTCTAATAGATGGAATATTACCAGAGCTCTAGAAAAATAAATGCAGCCTTTCKCAGCTGAAATGCAAGGGAAATGAAAACTTTGCTCTCAGTTGACACCATCAGTGCAGATAATGAAAAAAGCAATAARGCTACTCTTTTAGAAGAGAAGTTGAAAGGCATTTGTGTGGAAGTACCAAGGYGAGGCTGAGCAGGAAGCTGCACAGTCTGTGATGTGGGGTTATTCCCTGCTGTCCAACCATTTCTGATAGTCAATTGGTTTCTGTTGGGAGATACCCACTTTTCTGGGTAGTATTGCTGTGATGGGTGCACCTCTTCCCACTCTCCTAAAGCTCCATGGAGCAGTTCCTCTCACTTGTTGACCTGGTTAGAGCTCTCTGTCCTTTTGGGCTCTCAYGAAGCGTTGCTGCTGCTTCTGTCCAAGCAGAACAGCCAGACTCCATTCTGAATTTCAAAAGAATGGAAGGTGGAAAACGGATGAAAAACCTTACTAATAGGCTTGTTCAGCATTACTGATTTTATAGATTATCTACGCTTTTTCAACTTRCTTGTTGTGCTAGTGTTGCTAGTGGTGAGGATGCTTATCTTGCTTAGAAAATGCCTCTGTGCTAAATTTGTTAAATTTGTAAGTGATTAGAGTGAATGTCTTTGGGAAACACACGTAGTCTTTTGTTTCAAAAATTACAGATTACATATGGTGGCAACTGCCAATAAACTCAGAGCTTTAAGAAATCCAAGCTCTACAGATTRATAAGAACTGCTCCCATGGGACACCATTAGAGTGCTTTCTCGAAAATACCATGCTTCCTCCAAAATGATAACAATCATGCATTTACTGTACTTTCATCTACCTAATTCTCAAAGGCTTTAAGACAGTCCTTTGAGCTAGCTGTAAAGCTCGTAAGCCTGATTCTCTGTAATTATGTTAGTGTAAAACTGGGAGTAGTTCTACCTAAAGCAAAGGAGAGACACAGGTAAAAATAGGTGTGAAGAGAGGAGTGATTCAAATAAAAATCACATATAAATATAGGTTATTTTGAGTAGCATTGAGAGTATAGCTAAATGTGAAACTACTGTATTGGATATATCTGGAGAAAAATGAGTTGTTGCTCTCTAGTTTTGGCTGGACATGTKAAGCCGGAACATAGAAGTGTTAAAACTCTTACAGTGAAAAATAAAAGGTGATCCAACAATGATTAGTCACGTCTGTTAGATCAAAACTCAGTAGAAGTGGGTTGTGCTTTGGGCTTTTTGAAACAAGACTGAACTAATCAGTTTATATGATATTCTTAAGATGCATGTTTCTCATTTTCAGATGGAAAAACACTATTTCTGCTGGGCACAGTTTAATTTAGATGAATGAGTTGGCTAAAGGAATCCTTCRTCTTACATAAGGGCATAAATTAAGGCATGATGAAATCTTGATCATTCTTTCTAGCCATTAAAACACTTTCCTGGGTTTCTTTCTGGAGAGAGATCAGAAAATAGCTATTGCACA